CATATAAACATCTAAAGGGCTTTGTGTATACCTATTGGGGAAGCAAACAGACAAATATGTCAGAGGATGCATTGAGATTGAGAGTGTTCCCTTTTTCACTTAGAGGGAAATCTTTGGACAGGCTCAAAAGACTTCCCAACCATTCAATCACTACGTGGGATGAGTTGGCCGACAAGTTTATAGCTATGTTTTTCTCACCGGGACATATAGAGACATTGATAAATGAGATCCTGGCTTTCAAACAGGATCCTAATGAACAACTTCATGAGATCTGGGAGAGGTATCGGACGATGGTAAAAGATGTCCGAACAATGACATAACGAAGCAATGATCCAGCAAACGTTCTACCGTGGTATTAACACACCCAATCAGTGTGTAGTGAACCAGCTAGCATGGGGGAAACTTTATGAACACACCTTATGCTGAGGCATGTGAGATATTGGATGAGATGACAGATACTTCCTCGGCTTGGCAAAGTCGAGCTAATGTGCCACAAGGTGATCCCACTGTCATCCACCTACACAAAGAGCTCCACGACCCTGGCCAAGCAATAACGGTGTTGACTACAATAATGAACCGGTATGAAAAAGATCAATTGCAGCATGTTGAAGCGCCAAGAAACGTAAATGCTATGTAAGGAGTAGACATGTTGGTCTACAAGAGGCGACAAAGAGGTCAACAAAGTCAAGGAAGTCCGGATCAATATGAGAAGAGTAGTAGTGGTTTCAATCAAGATGATGGGTATGATGAACAAAGTGAAGAAGTTCAGTATGTAAACAACTACCAAGGACGACGGGGCAATGCTCCGAATCAACAACAACAGTGGAGATCTCAAGGAAATTTGGGGAATAAAAACCAACAAGGAAAAGAATAATCAAAATTTGAGCAACCAGAATAACTATGGAAACTAGGGTGGCAACAATAGCAATTGGGAGGAAACAACAATCAAGGGGGTTGGAATAGTGATAATCAAGGGAATCGGGGGCTGGGCTTTCAAAGTCATTCGATGTATCAACAGCCAAACAACCCGCCTCCATTTCCGGCCCAAGGTCCTAGCTCGTCAAACAATTAGATGGGAAGGATCGAGATGATGTTTAAGCAAATGATGAAAAAGAATGCCGACTCTGATTCCCAGTTGGCATCCCATAATACTTGTATCCGAAACTTGGAGGTTCAACTTGGCCAGATTTCACAATCTTTGAACACTCGCCCTAAGGAGGATCTACCTAGTGATACGGTAGTAAACTCAAAGGGCGGGAACAATACCGGGCATGTAATGGCGGTGATCACAAGGAGCGGTAGAGGTGGTGAAGTAAATACCTCCAAGCAAAAGGAAGTTATGAGTGATGAGGTTGAAGTGCAAGATGATGATGTTCCAATATTTGATGAGCAAGTGAGTGCAGAGAATTTGAATGCTGAAGTGAGAATTGATATCCATGATAATGAGGTGGAGACTCAAAATGAAGTGAACCCGTCTAGGGAACACGTGATAGACATACCGGAAATGGTAGTGCCCAAGGCTATGGCTTCCTTGCCCAGGCCTCCTCCACCTTACCCTCAAAGACTTGCAAAGCAAAAGAATGCAAACCAATTCAAGAAGATTATTGAGATGATGAAAAACTTGTCGTTCAATGTTCCTTTGGTGGAAGCTCTTGAGCAAATGTCGGGTTACGCCAAGCTTATGAAAGTCTAGGTGACTAAAAAGAGATATATGGATTGTGAGACCATCAAAATGACTCATCAAATGAGTGCAATTGTGCACTCAATGGCTCCAAAGCTTGAAAATCGCGGTGTATTCACCATCCCATTTACCATTGGGAGTGCGGATTTGCAAAGGCCTTGTGTGATTTGGGGGCAAGTATAAATTTGATTCCTTACTCCCTGCTCAAAACTTTGGGTATTGGTAACCCGAGAGCTACTTCAATGAGATTGCAAATGGCGAATAGAACAATGAAGAGACCGCTTGGTATTATTGATGATGTTCTTGTCCGTGTTAACAAGTTATTTTGCCTGCGGATTTTGTGATTCTCGACTGAGAAGTCGACTATCAGGTGCCTATAATATTGGGAAGGCCTTTCCTAGCAACTAGGAAGGCATTGGTTGATTTGGAAGCAGGGGAGCTCACCTTCCAGGTGGGTGATGAAAAGTTGTGTTCCATGTGTGCAAAATCGTACTGAAGTTTGCTCTTTTGTGGATCTGGTAACGGAGGTGATAGTTGATGACACAAGTGCCATGATCAATGTGGAGGATCCTTTAGAAGCGGTATTGTAGAACCATGATGTGATAGAGGATGAAGGTTTGGTGGAGTGTGTCAATGCTTTGCACGGAATGGGTTCTTACTCTTATGAGCCCCGTAAGCTTTCCTTGGAATTTGAGAAAAGAAAGACTCCGCCAACAATGCCCTCAATTGAGGAACCTCCCATATTGGAGTTGAAGCCTTTGCCTTTATACCTCAAGTACGAATTCTTGGGCCCTAGTTAAACTTGACATGTTATTCTTTCTTCGTGTCTTACTAACGTGCCAGTAGATGTCACGCCCCGAACCATGGCCTGGGCGTAACACGGCACTCGGTGCCTGACTGCATGTCACCGAGCGAACCAACTGCACGGCTGGATCAACATGTGGTATAACTATGAGCTAGAGGTAAATGTAAAACATGATAATCTGCTAAAAAGTCTGACTGAAATATCATAGATGCGGAAAATACTGAAAGGTCTGCAAGTATAAACAAGTAGCCGACAAGGCTAACACATGAAAGCCTGCTAATATCTGACTGACTGGGTTATAATCTATGAAGCCTCTAAGGAATACTGAAAATGCCAACTATTTACCGGGACAAGGTCCCCGGTATACCTTATTAATCGAAAATACTATAATGACTAACACAAAAGAGAGATAAGGCCCCGAAAGACTGGGGCTCACCAACAGCTGATGCGAGATGTCCTAACAAGCAGAATCGTCAACCTGAAAATTGTTACCTGCATCGCGAGATGCAGGCCCCGGGCAAAAGGGACGTCAGTACATTTGAATTGCACTGGTATGTAAAATAGCTGAACAAAAGAGCTGTAAATACTGAAACTGAAACTGAACTGCTAGCTGATAAACTGATAACTGGACAAGGAAGTAAGGATATGAATACTCCCTCTTCTGACTGATGAACAACCTGTTTATCAGATAAGCTACGGCCTCGGGCCCAATATATATACATGTGCACAAGCTACGGCCTCAGGCCCAAGTATACGTATACATAACTACGGCCTCAGGCCCAAAAATGCATAAAGCATAAACCACGGCCTCAGGCCCAAATACAGGTGTTCAACATTCAGGAATTTAGAATCTGGAACTGAGAATCATACTGTAATAAATGATACTGAAATAATGAGCCATACCAAGTGACATGATACTGTAATAGTGAATAGGATTAGACTGAGATGAATATTCATAATAAGTTGATCTGTCATAACTGAGACTCATAGAATATCTAATGATTATGAAACTATGCCATCTATAGAATAGAAGTTTTACTACTATTGAGGGAACTAGGTCATAGTTACTTTCTGAGGAAACTGGTAAGGGTCATAATGAATATGACGTAGGGAGAATCATAGACATTCCCAAACGTAAAGAGTTAGCCTTACATACCTTAACTTCCAGCTCTTGAGCGTAATACAACGTTTGTCAACCCTTTCAACTTTAATCAATAGCAATACAAGTCAAAGGGATTCCATATTAGCTATAATGCTCATGTTTTGGTCACTTAAGCATTTCATCAAACACTTGGTGAAAATAAAGCTTCATAGTCCTTATTAATGGTGTCTCTACACCCAACAACCCATTTCCTTGCCCCTAGATAAATTCTAAAGTCTCAAATGGTTGTAATCGATATTATTCTTTATCACCCATAAGCTAGACAACACCCTTAACCAATAATAGACACTCAACACCCCAAACCATAATCGTTCATACTTTTCTATCAAACCCATCAACTCATATCTCATGAACTAGGGTTTATAATCATTAAACCAATGCTAGAATCAATTAGAGGGTGAAGACATTACCTTTTCGAAGTTCAAACCCTTGAATTTCGAGTTCTAGGCTTCCTTCTCTCAACAATGATGACCCAATCGAATATCTAATGACATGGGGGTTTACCCATGTTAATAAGATACTGGGAAATTGAAATTAACTTATAATCACCATTAGAACTTACCTTGGGTGGTGGAAGGACCTTTAAGGAGTTAGGTTTTTGAGAGTTCCCCTTTCTAGAGCAAGTTGTTATGTATGGGGCTGTGGGGGACGAAATATAGCTTTAAAATGATCCCCACTAGCGCGATCACGCACCTGGAGGCTTGTTCGCGCTAGTGTTCACGCTAAACGGCAGTAACACTGCCTCCCACTAGCGCGATCGCGCACCTGGAGGCTTGTGCGCGCTACCGGGCGCGCATACGCGTACTGTTCTGAAAAACGCACATAACTTTTTTCACAGAGATCCGTTCGGGCTCCATAATATATTGTTGGAAAGATATTTCAAAGGCCTACAACTTTCATGCTTTGCGTTTTCCCCAATTCCTTACACATTTTCACTCGAACTTAATGGAAGACAGACCTTCTGCAAACTTAGTCGATTTTGTCAAATCTTATGCACCTCTCTTTCCATCTTTATTTTTGAAACAACTATTTTACCCACAATCATCCCATTGGGACTTCACATGTTCAAAATATAACCTTACCACTCATTTACCACATTCACACCTAAGCCAAATTTACGGGGTGTTACATTATCTCCCCCTTGGGATCATTCGTCCTCGAATGATGGTCCTGGTTGCAACTACGACTATATATGGACATTAAACGGGTGTGATGGTGATATGCGAATATTGAAATATCATGAATACATGTGTATCCAATTGAATGAGTACGTAATGATTGAGTTCTAAGCTGAGTAAATACTGAAGAACATGGAGATTATAATATAATAACTGAATGGAAAGGTCAATTACCTTCCATATTTTCCTTTTGCCCTTCAAAGAGATGGGGATATCTGGACTTCATGTCCTCCTCGGCTTCCCATGTAGCCTCTTCAATCTTTTGATTCCTCCAAAGAACTTTTACTGAAGCAATTTCCTTAGTTCTGAGCTTGCGAATTTGACGATCAAGAATAGCCACTGGAATTTCTTCATAAGATAGGCTGTCTTTAACCCCTATAACCTCTGTAGGAACCACAAGTGATGGGTCTCCCATGAATTTCTTCAACATGGACACATGGAACACTGGGTGTACGGCAGCTAGTTCTTGTGGCAATTCTAACTCATAAGCCACCTGTCCGATCCTTCGCAGGATTCTATGTGGACCAATATAGCGGGGACTAAGTTTCCTTTTCTTCCCAAATCTCATAACGCCTTTCATGGGCGATACTTTCAAAAATACCCAATCATCAACTTGGAACTCTAAGTCTCTACGCCGGACGTCTGAATAGGACTTTTGGCAACTTTGAGCCGTCTTCAAATGCCTTTGTATTAAGTTGACTTTCTCCATAGCCTGATAGACCAAATCGGGTCCTAACAACTCTGCTTCTCCGACTTCGAACCAATCAATTGGTGATCTACACCTTCGCCCATACAGAGCTTCGTACGGTGCCATCTTGATACTAGAGTGATAGCTGTTATTGTAAGCAAATTCAATGAGAGGTAGATGATCGTCCCAATTACCTTTCAAATTAATAACACACGCCCTCAACATATCCTCCAGAGTCTGAATGGTGCGTTCCGCCTGTCCATCTGTCTGAGGATGAAAAGCGGTGCTGAGGTTCACCCTTGTGCCCAATCCCTTCTGAAAGGATTTCCAAAAGTTTGCTGTGAATTGAGCACCACGATCTGAGATAATGGACAAGGGAGTCCCATGCAATCGGACAATTTCTTTGATATACAACTTGGCATAATCCTCGGCCGAATCTGTAGCCTTTACTGGCAAGAAGTGAGCTGACTTGGTAAGTCGGTCTACAATCACCCAAATCGAATCATGCTTCCGAAACGAGCGAGGTAGACCGGTTATGAAGTCCATGTTTATCATCTCCCATTTCCAAATGGAAATTTCTATATTTTGAGTTAAACCGCCAGGCCTTTGGTGTTCGACTTTCACCTACTGGCAATTTGGACACTTAGCCACGAAATCTGCTATATTCTTTTTCATATCGTTCCACCAATAAACCTCCTTAAGATCATGATACATCTTTGTGGAACCTGGGTGAATAGAATACCTAGAATTGTGGGCTTCTGACATAATCATCTCTCTGAGCCCATCTACGTTTGGAACACATAGTCTGCCTCTGTATCTCAAAGTACCATCATCTCCCCCTTGTTCAAAAGCCATAGTCTTGTGTTTGTGAATTCCCTCCGTCAACTGCAATAAGTAGGGATCACTGAACTGTTTTTCCTTCACTTCAGCTACTAAGGAGGATTCAGCCCTGTTCTGGAGAACAACACCACCATCTTCGGAGTCCAAAAGTCGAACTCCTAGACTTGCTAAGCGGTGGACTTCCTTCACCATAGTTTGCTTGTCTGCCTCAACATGAGCTAAGCTGCCCATAGAACGCCGACTGAGAGCATCGGCTACAACATTTGCTTTTCCTGGATGATAGAGGATATCAACATCATAATCTTTAAGTAATTCGATCCACCTTCTCTGACGTAGATTTAATTCTCTTTGCTTGAAGATGTACTGGAGGCTCTTGTGATCTATAAAAATTTCAACATGTAACCCATACAATTAATGGCGCCAGATCTTAAGCGCAAACACCATAGCTGCTAATTCAAGATCATGAGTCGGATAATTCTTCTCATGAGCCTTGAGTTGTCTCGACACGTAGGCTATGACTTTGCCGTGCTGCATTAATACACACCCAAGACCAACCCCTGAAGCATCACAATAAACAACGAACCCTCCGGTTCCTTCCGGTAGTGTTAGGACTGGAGCTGAAGTCAACCTTTTCTTTAACTCCTCAAAACTTTTCTCGCACGCGTCCGACCATTGAAACTTGACTTTCTTCTGAGTTAATCTAGTCAATGGGGATGAGATAGAAGAAAATCCCTCTACGAAATGCCTATAATAGCTTGCTAGACCCAAGAAACTTCTTATATCGGATACTGAGGTGGGTCTAGGCCAATTCTTCACTGCCTCTATTTTGTGAGAGTCCACCTTCACGCCTTCCCCTGAGATGACATGGCCCAAAAACGCTACTGATTTCAACCAAAATTCACACTTGGAAAATTTTGCATATAGCTTGTGATCCTGCAGTGTCTGCAACACAATTCTAAGATGTTCTGCATGGTCAGTCTCGCTATGGGAATAAATCAAGATGTCATCAATAAACACGATAACAAAAAAAATCAAGATAAGGCTTGAAGACCCTATTCATAAGGTCCATGAAAGCTGCTGGTGCATTCGTTAAACCAAATGACATTACCAAAAATTCGAAATGCCCATATCGAGTCCTAAAAGTTGTTTTTTTGGAATATCAACTTCCTTAACCTTCAACTGATGGTATCCCGATCTGAGGTCAATCTTGGAATAACACCGGGCACCCTGAAGTTGATCAAATAAATCGTCTATTCTGGGAAGAGGGTACTTGTTCTTGATGGTGACTTTATTCAACTGATGATAGTCAATGCACATACGCAAGGACCCATCCTTCTTTCGGACAAACAAGACCGGTGCGCCCCAAGGTGAGACACTTGGCCTTATAAATCCCTTATCTAGAAGATCTTTCAACTGGACCTTTAACTCTTTTAACTCTGCTGGAGCCATTCTATAAGGCGGAATAGATATCGACTTAGTGCCTGGAAGTAGATCAATTCCAAAGTCAATCTCTCTATCGGGAGGGACTCTAGGGAGATCTTCGGGAAACACTTCTGGAAACTCATTTACAATTGGTACCGATTGGAGAGTGGGAATCTGAGCATCTGCATCCTTAACTCGAACCAGGTGGTAGATATATCCCTTGGAGATCATCTTGCTGGCTTTAAGGTTGGAAATAAACCTACCCCTAGGTGTTACTGCGTCACCCTTCCATTCTAAGACTGGTACACCGGGAAATTCAAAAACTTACTATTTTGGTTCTACAACCCACTTTGGCATAACATGACTCTAACCAATCCATTCCCATGATCACATCGAAGTCTAACATCTCCAATTCTACTAAGTCTGCTACAGTAAGACGATGATGCACTTTAACTAGACATCCCATATAGATACACTTTCTGGTTCTATCCCAAATTTCTTTGCAATATATGGGGTTACATAAGATAGGGTGGATCCCGGATCTATAAGAGCATAGACATCAAAAGTAAATATTGTTAGCATACCCGTGACAACATCTCCACGAGCCTCTGTATCCTGATAGTCTGCCAGTGCATACAAGCGGTTTCGTCCACCGCCTGCATTATTAGACTTTGCTGCGCCGCGCCCTTGCTGAGCCTGAGAGTTATGATGGGCTGCTGAATTAGTGGACTGAGCTACATTGACTCCATTGTTCTGCTTTGCTGATGGACAATCCGTCAAGAAGTGGCCCTGCTGACCGCACCCAAAGCAACCATTTGTGCCCAAACGACACACCACTTGATGCTTCTTACCACACATGTTGCGAATAGGGTACTCCAGGCCTCTGTAGCCCACACTAGTCTATGACTGTGAACCTGCTGCTCTGAAATTTTGGTTTTTCTTGTTAAACTTGGACCTTTGAATCGGTGCACTAGCTGAAGATGGAGCGGGTCCTGATTTTGATTTCCTGAAGAACTGGCGATTGCCTCCTGCTTGAGATCCCCCATGGCTCAAATTTCCTACAGACTTAGCTCTCTTGCTGAATTCCCTGTCTTTCTCTTTCTGTAGCCGCTCTTCTTCTTTCAACCTGTCTTCGTTCCCTTGAACAAAGGCAACCATCTTAGTGATGGTTATGTCATTATTCTGAGCAACTATATTAGCATCAGCAAATAAATCATCTGAAAGCCCCAACACAAACCGCCTAACTCTGGCCCTCATATCACGTACCATTTTTGGAGCATACTTGGCCAGAGAGACAAACTTGAGGTAGTACTCATTCACACTCATATCATTCTGTCTGAGTCTCTCAAAATCCAAAGCCTTAGCTTCCAAGACCTCAATGGGTAGAAAGGGCTCAAGGAACGCATCTGCAAACTCCTTCCAAGTTGCAGGATCCGCATCCTCCCTCGGGATTCTTCACACGTTTCATACCAAGTGTTGGCAACATCCTTCAGCTGGTACGCAGCAAGCTCTGCTGCCTCAGTTTCTGTAGCATGCATCACTCGAAATATCTTCTGAACCTCATCAATGAAGTTTTGCGGATCCTCATCCTTTTTGGAGCCTGTGAAGACGGGATGTTTCATGTTGAGGAATTCCCAAGACCTGGAACTACCCGTCTCATGAACATCACTTGTTCCCTGCCTTTGGGCCTGGGTAGCAACAATCTGGGTGAGCAACTGGATAGCTCCCCTGACATCCATGTCTGAAGCATTGGGCACTGAGCCTGGTGCAACCCCCTGGGCTGGAGTGTCCTCCTCCTGAGCAGCATTAGTTGTGGCCCCCTGGCTAGTAGCTGAGGCCCTCCTGGTGTACTTTCTTTTTGCAAGCATTTTTTTTCTTCTGAAATACGCAATTCGCATGGGTTAGACAGATTCCTGAAAGCATAGCTCTAACTGCACGATCTAGAGTATGAAAGAAATGGAACAATCCTAGATGTCTTGGTGGTCAACTATTTACATGTGTGGCGCGCGCACACACATAAAAGAGACCCCACTGGACACGGCTTCATAGACTCCCTAGGACTATTGAACCTAGGGCTCTGATACCAAGCTTTGTCACGCCCCGAACCATGGCCTGGGCGTAATACGGCACTCGGTGCCTGACTGCATGTGACCGAGCGAACCAACTGCATGGCTGGATCAACATGTGGTATAACTATGAGCTAGAGGTAAATGTAAAACATGATAATCTGCTAAAAAGTCTGACTGAAATATCATAGATGCGGAAAATACTGAAAGGTCTGCAAGTATAAACAAGTAGCCGACAAGGCTAACACATGAAAGCCTGCTAATATTTGACTGACTGGGTTATAGTCTACGAAGCTTCTAAGGAATACTGAAAATGCCAACTGTTTAACGGGACAAGGTCCCCGGTATACCTTATTAACCGAAAATACTATAATGACAAACACAAAAGAGAGATAAGGCCCCGAAAGACTGGGGCTCACCAACAGCTGATACCAGATGTCCTAACAAGCAGAATCGTCAACCTGAAAATCGTTACCTGCATCGCGAGATGCAGGCCCCGGGAAAAAGGGACGTCAATACATTTGAATTGCACTGGTATGTAAAATAGCTGAACTAAAGAGTTGTAAATACTGAAATTGAAACTGAACTGCTAGCTGATAAACTGATAACTGGACAAGGAAGTAAGGATATGAATACTCCCTCTTCAGAATGATGAACAACCTGTTTATCTGAAAGCTACAGCCTCGGGCCTAATATACATACATGTGCACAAGCTACGGCCTCAGTCCCAAAAATGCATAAAGCATAAACTACAGCCTCAGGCCAAAATACAGGTGTTCAACATTCAGGAATTTAGAATCAGGAACTGAGAATCATACTGTAATAAATGATACTGAAATAATGAGCCATACCAAGTGACAAGATACTGTAATAGTGAATAGGATTAGACTGAGATGAATATTCATAATAAGTTGATCTGTTATAACTGAGACTCATAGAATATCTAATGATTATGAAACTATGCCATCTAGAGAATAGAAGTTCTACTACCATTAAGGGAACTAGGTCATAGTTACTTTCTGAGGAAACTGGTAAGGGTCATAATGAATATGACGTAGGGAGAATCATAGACATTCCCAAATGTAAAGAGTTAGCCTTACATACCTTAACTTTCGGCTCTTGAGTGTAATACAACGTTTGTCAACCCTTTCAACTTTAATCTATAGCAATACAAGTCAAAGGGATTCCATATTAGCTATAATGCTCATGTTTTGGTCACTTAAGCATTTCATCAAACAATTGGTGAAAATAAAGCTTCATAGTCCTTATTAATGGTGTCTCTACACCCAACAACCCATTTCCTTGCCCCTAGATAAATTCTAAAGTCTCAAATGGTTGTAATCGATATTATTCTTTATCACCCATAAGCTAGACAACACCCTTAACCAATAATCAACACTCAACACCCCAAACCTATAATCGTTCATGCTTTTCTATCAAACCCATCAACTCATATCTCTATAATCATTAAACCAATGCTAGAATCAATTAGAGGGTGAAGACATTACCTTTTCGAAGTTCAAACCCTTGAATTTTGAGTTCTAGGCTTCCTTCTCTCAACAATGATGACCCAATCGAATATGTAATGATATGGAGGGTTTACCCATGTTAATAAGATATTGGGAAATTGAAATTAACTTAGAATCACCATTAGAACTTATCTTGGGTGGTGGAAGGACCCTTAAGGAGTTAGGTTTTTGAGAGTTCCCCTTTCTAGAGCAAGTTTTTATGTTTTGGGGCTAGGGGGAGGGGGGGGGGGACGAAATATAGCTTTAAAACGACCCCCACTAGCGCGATCGAGCACCTGGAGGCTTGTTCGCGCTAAACGGCAGTAACACTGCCTGCCACTAGCACGATCGCGCACCTGGAGGCTTGTTCGCGCCAGTGTTCGCGCTACCGGGCGCGCATACGCGTACTGTTCTAAAAAACGCACATAACTTTTTGTACAGAGATCCGTTCAGGCTCCATAATATATCGTTGGAAATCTATTTCAAAGTCCTGCAACTTTTTTGCTTTGCATTTTCCCCAATTCCTTACACATTTTCACTAAACCTTGATGGAAGATAGACCTTCTGCAAACTTAGTCGATTTTGTCAAATCTTATGCACCTCTCTTTCCATCTTGATTTTTGAAACAACTATTTTACCCACAATTTCCCCGTTGGGACTTCACATGTTGAAAATATAACCTTACCACTCATTTACCACATTCACACCTAAGCCGAATTTACGGGGTGTTACAGTAGATGCCACTATGGAGGTGCTCCAAAGAAGGAAGAAGGCAATTGGATGGACTCTAGCTGATATTCGGGGAATAAGCCTCGCCTTTTGCATGCCCACGATTATACTTGAATATGATGCCAAACCCTCCGTGGAACATCAAAGGAGGTTGAACGAGGCTACGCAAGAGGTTGTCAAGAAGAAGGTGATCAAGTGGCTAGATGCAGGGGTTGTGTATCCCATCTTGGATAGTTCTTGGACTTCACCAGTACAATGTGTGCTGAAGATTGGTGGTACGACTGTGGTCACCAATGAGCAAAATGAGTTAATCCCAACCAGGACTGTCACCGGATGGAGGGTATGCATGGACTACCGGAAGCGGAATAAAGTTACGCGCAAAGATCATTTTCCATTGAAATTCTTGACCAAATGTTGGATAGACTTGCCGAGCATGCCTACTACTATTTTTTGGATGGGTACGCAGGTTACAACTAGATTTTGATTGCTCCAGAGGACCAAGAGGAAACCACCTTCACATGCCCGTACGGGTCCTTTGCATTTTCACGAATGCCATTTGGTTTGTGTAATACACCGACTACCTTCCAGCGATGTATGATGGCTATATTTACGGACATGGTGGAGGACTTCTTGGAAGTATTCATGGATGATATTAGTGTTGTGGGTGATTCCTTAGATGAATGTTTAAAGAATCTCGACAAGGTGTTGGCCCGATGTGAAGAGACAAATCTAGTGCTCAACTGGAAAAAATGCCACTTTATGGTCGAGGAGGGCATTGTCCTCGGCCATAACATCTCAAAGAACGGCATTGAGGTGGACAAGGCGAAGATTGAAGTGATTTCCAAGCTTCCTGCTCCTACTTTTGTCAAGGGGGTTAGGAGTTTTCTTGGGCATGCGGGTTTCTACCGAAGGTTCATCATGGATATTTCAAAGGTAGTGAATCCTTTGTGCAAATTATTGAAAAAGGATGCAAAGTTCATGTTTAATGATGAGTGCATGATAGCTTTTGAACTTCTCAAGTACAAACTAACAACCACTCCCATTATTATCGCACCCTATTGGATCTTACCTTTTGAGCTCATATGCGACGCAAGTGATGTTGCGGTAGGAGCAGTCTTGGGTCAAAGAGTGAACATGATGTTTCACCCGATGTATTATGCAAGCAAAATTATGAATGATGCCCAGGCTAATTACACGGTGACGGAAAAAGAGTTGCTAGCCATAGCGTTCGCCATGGAGAAGTTTAGGCCTTATCTCATGGATGCCAAGGTGATACTTCATACTGACCATGCATCACTCCACTAATTGATGACAAAGAAGGATTTTAAGGCTCGGTTGATGAGATGGGTTCTATTGCTTCAAGAGTTTGACCTTGAGATTGTTGATCGGAAAGGGTGTGAAAACCAAGTGGCGGACCACTTGTACCGCTTGGAGGAGGGTAGGCCCCGTGATGGCCTCAAAGTTAATGATTTATTCCTGGATGAGCAATTCCTTTCCGTATTTGTGAATAGCATGCCTTGCTTAGCTGATTTTGCCAACTTTCTTGTGACTGGCA